TCTAATGAGAGAAGATGACACAAAAAGGGAGCTGAAAAGCAAGATGGAGGGGGTGGAAATGAAGGTACTAGAGGGTCATTTTGAAATACAGAAGCCAGCAAGGATAGGGGAAAAAGGCCCTCCTCTGTCCCTCTGTAAAAGGGAGCCTAAATTTAGGTCTATAAGGTTGTTATATGGCGAGATAGAGCACCAAAATCCAAGTAGGTTGAGACAAATGGTAAGTTGGTTGCCAGTCTGAGTTAAAAACTGTAGGAATCTCCCAAAGATATAAAAATGGGTAAATGACCCACATGTACAAAAATATTTATAGCAGCTCTTTCTGTATAGACAAGAATTGGAAACTAAGGGGATGCCCATCAGTCAATAAATGGCTGAACAAGTTGTGGTATATGAATGTAAAGGAATACTACTGTGCTATAAGAAATGATGAGCAGGCCGACTTCAGAAAAACCTGGACTTATATGAACTGATCCTGAATGAAGTGAGCAGAACCAGGAGAACATTGTACACAGTGACAGCTACATTGTGTGATGACTAACTTTGATAGATTTAGCTCTTTTGAACAATGCAAAGATCTAAGACAACTCCAAAAGACTCATTATGGAAAATGCTACCTACATCCAGAAAAAGATCTACAGAGTCTGAATGTAGATCGAAGCATCCTATTTGTGCTCTCTCTCTCTCTTTTTTTTTTAGTTTCTTCTTTCTCATGGTTCCTCCCATTAGTTCTAATTCTTCTTCACAACATGACTAATGTGAAAATGTGTTTAATATGAATGTATATGTACAGCCTATATCAGATTTCCTGCCATTTTGGGAAGGGGGGTAGCAGAGGGAGAGGGAGAAAACTTGGAACTCAAAATCTTATGGAAGTGAATGCTGAAAACTAAAAAGTAATTAATTGATTGATTTAAAATAAAAACTGTAGAATCTGCCAAAGCTAAGGAAGGCAAATTAAGAAAATGCAGCAAAAGTAACACTCAAGCTGCTTCCGTCTTTTTAATCCAGAGGGATGAAAAACCTATCATGGCTGACACTGATATCCCTACATGGTCCAAAGTGAGTGCCAGAACTTCCTAACCAAAACCTTACAGTGATGTTAGTTATTAACACTATTTAACTAATTATTAATCTAGTCCCTCATCATATTATGCCTACATTTATTCAGTCATTCAGTAGAAATGTACTATGTGTCTATTCTCAATAAGGCACTGGGTTAGGTGCTGAGGATAATTGACATTTGTTATTTCTGAAGTGCTTTAAAGTTTCACACAAAGAATTTCATATCCATTACCTGGTTTGAACCTCACAACAATCCTGTGAGACATATACTACAAATACTATTATCCTTATTTTACAGATAAAGAAAAACAGGCTGAGAGTTAAGCAATTCCTTCATCCATTATCACAGATCTAGTAAGTTATCAGGGGTAGTTTTCAGATCTAGATCTTCCTAAATCCAAGCCCAGTACTCAAGCCACTCTACCATACTGATGTAGAACCAGAGAATTATATCTATGGATTTGATTTTTGTTAATAATTAATTTATTTATTTTTAGTTTTCAACATTAACTTCCATAAGATTTTGAGTTTTAAATTTTCTCCCCCACTTTCTCCTCTGCCCTCCCCAAGACAGCATGCAGTCTGACATAGGCTCTACTTATACTTATACTTATATCAAGCATATTTTTCCAATAGTCATGTTGTAAAGAACAATTAGAACTAATGGGAGGAACCACGAGAATGAAGCAATAGAAGAAAACAACAAAGGAAAAGGAGAGCAAATAGTATGCTACCATCTGCATTCAGACTTCATAGTTCTTTCTCTGGATGTGGATAACATTTTCCATCATGAGTCTTTTGGAGTTGTCTTAGATCCTTGAATTGCTGAGAAGAGCAAAGTCTATCAAAGCCAGTCATCACACAGTGCAGCTATTATTGTATACAATGTTCTCCTGGTTCTGCTCATTTCACTCAGCATCAGTTCATATAAGTCTTTATGGATTTGATTTTTTTTATATTCTGAAATTAATATTTAGAGTGAAATCTGGTGAATAAGGTGGGTCACTAAGCTAGATGATGTTGTTCTCAATTTATAAAACTAGATGTGACTATAAAAAAGTTGAGAATGGTTTGTGTGGTACAATAAAAGTAATAATTTTCATTACTTTTTAGTTATACTTCAAGTATGGTATTCAATCAAAATTATTTTATAGCAGAAGACACTTAGTGGCACCAGCTTCAATCCTGAGAGTCAACCAGCTGAGTTTCTTTTCATTTGATGGGTAGAAGTGAAAAAAAAGAGCAAAGCAGAAAAAAAGTATCTTATTACCCTACAGAAAAGGGAGATTAGGGGTGAAAATTATTTGTGAGTACATGATTAAGTATGTGTGGGTAGACATTTGACCAAAGATTTCAGTGGATAAAAGAGGCCTAGGCATATCTCCTATATCAAGTCCCCATTTAGCAACCTGAGTAAATAACCCTTCTAGGAGTTATGTTACTAATCCAGCAGGCAGGCACCATTTTCTCATTTGTAAGCATATGTTGTTGTTGTTTCAGTTATTTCAGTCCAACTCTTTGTGACCCCATTTGGGTTTTTTGTTTTGTTTTGTTTTTTGGCAAAGATACTAGAATGGTTTGTCATTTCCTTCTCTAGTTCATTTTACAGGTGAGGAAACTGAGTCAAACAGGGTTAAGTGACTTGCAAAGGGTCATACAGCTAATAAATGTCTGAGGTTATATTTGAACTCAAGTCATCTTGAATACAGGCCCAGCACTCTCCACTTCATCACCTGGCAGCCCATTGCAAGCATACAGGATAGTATGTATTACAAGGGAGCTTTGTTTTGTTTTGTTTTTTAACACATTTTGAACCTCTGTGGTATCTTTTTTCCCTTTTTTTCTTTTCTTTTTTTTTGTTACATTAATATATATTTATGGAATAAAGCATTTCTATAACACAGAACAAAAAAGATGATTGTACATGAAACTGTAAATCTAACATGCACAAATTGCTATTACTTTCAAATATACAACAAAATTGTCAGGTAAATTTTTTTTTCTCCTTTATTTTCTCCACTTTCCCCACCCTGTCCTAGAGATGGCTACCATTACACACAAATATGTATATGTATGTGTGGATGTATGTATGTAAAATTATTCTATACATATTTCTATTTATCAGCTCTTTCTCTGGATGCAGATAGCATCTTTCTTCATATATCCTTTATAGTTAATTTGTGTATTTATAATAGTCAAAATATTCACTCAAAGTTGTTCTTAAAACAATATTATTGTTGCTGTTACTGTATACAATGTTCTCTTGGTTCTGCTCATTTCACTATTCAGTATTTCATGTAAGTCCATGTTTTTCTAAGATCATTGAGCTCACCCTTTCTTATAGTCCATGTTTTTCTAAGATCATTGAGCTCACCCTTTCTTATAGCACATCACAATCATATACTACAACTTGTTCAGCCATTCTACAATTGATGGGCATTCCTGCAATTTCCAGTTCTTTGCTACCACAAAAAGAGGTGCTATAAATATTTTAGAACAGATAGGTTCTTTTCCTTTTCCCCTAGTCATCTTTGGAAACAGACCTAGTAGAGGTATTGCTAGATCAAAGGGTATAGGTAGTTTAATGACTCTTTGGTCATAATTCCAAATTGCTCTCCAAAATGGCTGAATCAGTTCACCATTGGCTACCAACAATGAATTAATGTCCTAATTAGAGCTTTGCTAACAATTGGTTGAGGTTGAAGCTTGTAAATAAGCAGTTTTCAAAAGGAAGAAATCCATTCTGTCAACAACCACACACACATACAAAAAGTGCTCCAACCACTAGATCAACTAAAATGACAAAACTGATGATTGTTTGAAGGACTGCAGCAAAACAAGCACACTAATTCACTGGAATTTAGAATTGGTCTAGCTACTCTGGAATTTTGAAACTATGCTCCAAGTCACTAAACTGTGCTTACTCTTTGATCCAATGTGATACCACCATTAGGCCTACACCCTCAAAGGGTTCAAAGTAAGAAGAAAAGGACCCATTTGTACAAAACATATCTAAAGAGCTCTTTGTGTAGTAGCAAAAAATTAGAAACTAAGTGGGGCTATCTTTTGGGATTAGCTATGGTACATAAATACAGTGGAATATTACTGTACTATAAGAAACAAGGAAACTGATAGTTTCTGAGAAAACTGGGAAGATGAACTGATTGAGAGTAAAATGAGCAAAACCACTTTGAAAGACGGAGAGAATTCTGATCAATGCAACAACAAACCACGACAGAGATGGATATGCAAAATGAAATATGTATTTTTGGAGGATATGGCCAATGTGGAGATTTACTTTGCTTAGCTCTGCATATTTTTCACAATGGTTTTCTTTTTCATTAGTGGGAAAAGAAATGAGAGAAAAAACCAAATCTTTGCTAATTAAAAAAAATTTAACTAAAAATTAGTTTATAACAATAAATAATATAGGAGATTTAGAGGCAGTGTGCTGTAATTGATAGAGCTGGCCTCCAGACCACATAGGTTCAAGTGCGGCTGACACCTAGTGGCTGGGTGAACTTGGATAAATCACTTAACCTTTAAATCTCTAGGCAACTCTTCCAGATCATAAGTTGCAGAAAAGTTACTGAACCTCCCTTTTCCCCATTTCATAGCTTATGTGAGTATCCAAGCCTGTTAAATCTCTAGGCAAAGGACCCTCCAAAAGCAAAGGAAGATGAAAACTTGAGGATTGTTTGTATTTGTATCCCCAGTGCTTTGCATGAAGCCAGGCACGTGGTGAGACCTTGTTAATTCCAAACAAGCATGTAAATTTACATGTCAAGGTTATTTTTTACAGAGGATGGCAATGTATTATAAAGGATATTGTAAGAAAGGCGGAGGCAAGGAGACTGAGGATTACTTCCGCCTTGCAGCCAGACGCTTTTGAGAATCCCAGAGCCGACTTAGGCGGCTGCGCATGCGCAGACACGCCAGGAAATAGCGAGTGCGCACGCGTAGAAACACTGGCCCCGTGAGCGGCTCCGATGAGCAGACAAACCGTGCAAAATCGATTATGTGCCCTGCGTCCTTCTGAGAGAAAGAGAAAGGGGTAGGGGGGAGGGAAAGGGTGAAGTGCGCCGAAGTTTTGAGACGGTGCTTGCAAGTCGCCCCGTCCTGTCCATCTTCTCACTGTGGCATTGGGGCAAGGATGCCAGGCAGGCGGTCGCGCCGGGAGGATGGAACCGAGCCCGCCACTTCCGCTAAACTTCCCCTAAACAAGGAGGAACTCAACTCGAAGGTAAGGCTGGGAACATCACGGTGGGAGCGCCCCCTGCAGGCGAAGGGAGGGTTTATGGGTGAGCCGCGCCTTCACATGTCCTACCCTGCGCCCCTTTCCCAGGTTCCCCTGCGCCTCCCACTCGGCCGGAAGCTGCCTCCTGGGAGCCGGAAGGTCTTCGTGCGCCTGCGATGGTGCCGGGAGGAAGCGTGGTTAGTGTGGGCGACACACGTACACCTGGGGCTCCTTCCCCACCCCTCCGTCCCCGAACTTGACCGTGTGTGGAGAGGCAGCAGCAATCCGCGGGAAGGCTTCTCTGCTGCCCGGTCCTTTTTAAAGGGCTAGTAAGCCCTCTGGGTCCAGCGGCCTGGGGCGTTGTGTGGGCAAGAGCCGGGGTGACTGGAAGGGTCCGTGAGGTGGGATTGAGCTAAGCGTCATGTGTATGTCACGATTCTAGTTCTGGGTCGTGGACTTGTCCTGAATGTATTGTCGGTAGTGAGGGAGGTTACAATGGTATTGTTTAGCAGGGAGAAGGCCACCTCGTGGGCCTTGGGGCCAAGGTGTTACAGGGAGAACACCTGAGGCAGGTTCCCTAGGCCCCAGTGACACTTTTCTCCCTCTTTAAAGTTCAAGGGACACGTCGTTTCAAGCTAAAAAGGTGTATGGAAAAGAATTCTGTGGTTTAGGAAATGTTGTGAGGAAAAGAGCACTGATTTTCTACTCAGAATTGGAATCTTGGTATTTACAGCTATAAAGCACCTTGAAGATCAATTTGTCTACTACCCTTATTTTCTAGGGCAGCTAGGTGGTTCAGTGGATAGGGCCCTGGAGTTAGCAAGACCTGAGTTCAAAAACAGCCTTAGACACTTAATAGCTGTATGACCCTGGGCAAGTCACTTAATCTCTGTTCCCTGTAGTTTCCTCATTTAAAAATAGGGATAATAACACTCACCTCCCAGGGTTGTTAATGAAGATCAAATGAAATACAGTTGTGAAGTGCTTTGCACAGTGCCTAGCATGCAGTAAGGGTTATATAGGTGTTAGCTATTATTATTATTATTAGATCTGAGGAATTTGAAGCCCAGCCTATTAAAGTGAGTTGGTCATGATCAGAGAATTGGAATTTAGACCTCTGGCCCATGACTCCAAATACCCCTTTGACAAGTTCATCTAGGTCTGAATTTTGAATCTGACAGCTGCATTGGGGTAATGCTGGACTTAGATTAGTCAGTCAGTAAACAAAAAACACCTACTATGTGCCAGGCATAATGTGAAGCACTAGGGACATAAAAAGAGCAAAAGATACTCCTTGCCCTTAAGGAGCATAATCAGTGGACATAGAGAAAGACCAAGGTTTGAATCCCTGACTCAGAAATTGTTTTGACCCTGGGTAAATCACTTAATTTCTGAACGGAACATAACACACCTGTAATAAAGAGTGAATAATAGAATCCATCCCACAAGGTTATTGGAAAGATCAAATTTAATACCGTATGCAAAGTGTTCACCAGTCTTAAGGTATTATATAATGTTAGCTATCATTATCCTAGTCAATTTGATTCCCTCAGGGAAATTTTCCTTTTTTGTAGAATGGGGATGTTAATATCGCACCACCATTCTCACAGGTTTGTTATTAGGGATACACTTTTTAAACCTTAAAAAACTATAATGGTGAGCTGTTTTTATTATTGTGCAACTGTAATTCATTATCTTTATGACAGTTGTGACTTTGGCTTTGTTCTTGGATATTTGTATAAGACATTTCATGGCTAATTCATTATGAGATTTAGTGATAAGGCAAGAGTCAAATCACTATTAGGCCTAAAGGGAATATAATATACTAATCAGTCTTTACAAGTAAGGCTATTCAAAGGGAAGTAAAGTATTTGTTAGCTTGGGAAGGGTGGTGCTGGTGACACTGTGCACTCTTATGTTGGCAGAATATAAAATAAGCTCACATATATACCATTTAAAAATTTGTCTCACATTTGTCTCATAACCCTATGAAGTATTACAAATACTCGTATTCCCATTTCACATGTAGGGAATTAGATGGTCATAGAAGTTGTGACTTGCCTATGGACACACAGCTATTAAGTGGCAAAGCCAGGATAGAAGCTGGATTTTTTCTGATTACTAAGTCTAGTGTTCTTTCCAATACAGCAATTTGCTACTGTAATCAACAAATTCTTTAGAGTTGGCAGCTGTCTTAGATGTTACCTAATCCAAATCATTTGTTTAACTGTGGTGGTAATCTGTGTGGCTATTACCACACCCCAGTCCCCACCACTAATGACAGTCTCCTGGCCAACTTGTAGGGATTCACATACAGTCATACAAGTACTTTTTTTCCTACTTCCCAGAATAACTGTATATCCACCATGCCACCTCCATACTTCATTTAGGTGTTCAGCTCCCCAATTCTGTCCAGCATCAAGAGGAAATGAATTAGAACCTTAAGTTATTACCTTTTTTATCTGTGTTTAAGAAAGTTTATATTAAAAACTAATTTTATATGTACAAACATCTTCTGAACTGCCCATTGTGGTGGGGGAGGAGATGATCCTGGGCTGTGCAGCAGAATGCAAGCTCTGATGGTCTTGTCAAGCTGAAAGGCTTTTAGAATAGACCCAGTGATCTGTAAGTCTGTCCTCAGACCAAACTGGAGAAACATGTCTTTGGGTTGGCTGCAAGGTGATGAAATTTTCAGTCACAAGAACTTTCAAGAACCGTCTGCTACATCATGGAGGGATTACACTCTCCATTGATAGAGAGAGGTAGTGCTCTTGTGGACAACATCACAAATCCATGAACTATTGGAACATATATACAATAGTACCTTCTGATTCTTATAATGTGCCAGTCTGTTTAAGCATGTGTTTTTGTTCTTTTGTGTAGTTCAGTGATAAACATCAGTTACAAGTGGTTCTTTTTAATTATTTCCTTGGGATGTATTTACAGTAGTAAATGACTGAGTCAAAAGACCTTATTGAGTATTGTCAGATTGTTTTCCAGAAAAATTACATGAGTTCTTAGTAGACTATTTTTTAGATATTATCAGCCTCCATTATAGACATTGTCATGTGTTCCTAATGTTAAGATGATGCCAGCCACCTTATCACATAGAAAATCTTCTCAAAAGACACTTGAAAATGTCTGTTTCAATCTTATTTTTAATAGATTAAAGAACAAAAAGTTGTCGTGGATGAACTTTCCAACTTGAAGAAAAACAGAGTAAGTAATCACCAAATTAATTTTGCCCAGTAGGGCATATGATAATAACTGATGTAACACTTTTAACGTTTGAAGAGCAGTCTTCTGCATCTCATTTTAGCTTTACAACCTTGTGGAGTAGGTACAGGTATTATTCCCATTTTACACATGAGGAAACTAAGATTCAAGTTAAATGATTGACCTAATGTCACAACTGTTAAATAGCAAAGACAGAATTCAGACTCAGATTTTCCTGACTTCAAGTCCATCATGCCACAAAATTTCCTTATGTGTTTGTAATTTAACTAAATAATTCAAAACCTAGATTCTTTAAAAGTTTCCTAGAATCTTAATCACCTACTTCAGTAAATGATTTGCCAGCACCATGATCCTTTATATACTTTTGCTACCTGTCCCCTTCTCACATCCACTGGGATTGCTTAATCTGGAAAAGAGAATAATTGGACTGTTAGTGATGGGCTTCCACTTTAGTGATGAAGTATGCTACTAAGCAAGATGGTGGAAATTCTTCACATAAAATAGAATCCAATCTTTCCTCCTAGAAACAAACTCTAACCCCATCTCTTTGGGCATGATAGTATTTAATAAATCTGTGGGGTAAGTGAGCCAGATAACCTTTAGCAGATACTTCTAGCCCTCTGATTCACTGTGTAAAGCCAGTAGCCATTTCCTTCCAGATGCCTCTTTTAGTACTCCAGCCTTGGCCCTGTGGGATCAGTATTGATCTTAAAGACATTGCTGTAGTCCCATTAGGCAGGCTTTGCCACAATATCATAACAGAACCTGGCTTGGATCTGAAAAGTGCAAGATTTCTATTCCTTTCTAGTTCATATATTACCAAAACCACAGCTGTATCTATGATATATGCAAAATTCACTGTTCTGGCTTTTTAATTATGTTTGTAGTTTATAGTGCCTTTCCTTTGTTCAATTCTGTTATGTTTCCTTATCTTTTATATTCTTAAGCAATAAGTTCCTGTTTTATATCTGAGTAATTTAAGACTATTGATTTATAGAAAGGGACCTCAGAGACCATCTAGTCCACCCCCTTATTTTACATTGGGGAAATTGAGAACTCAGAAGGAAATGTGACCAAGGTCATATAGTTACATGCATCAGAGGGAGAATTTGAAGCGAGGTCCTCTGACTTAAGAGCCTATAGTACCCTTTCTACTTCATGTTGTCTTTACTATCTTGCTTCACAAGTACAGTATACTTCATTTTAAATTACATTGAGAACAGATAGAAATACTTATTTAAGTGAAATAGGTATGGTTGGTGAATAAAAAAAGAATAAATTGCATGACACAAAACGATTTTTATAAATCTTTCACAAGCTTCACTTGTCCATTTAGTGCAGTCAGTAAGCATACAAACTGCTTGTTATTAGTTTTGGCAAAATAACACATTTGAATATTTTAGAAACCATGCAAGTCAATGTGGCATAGTGGATAGAGAGCTAGTCTCTGAGTCAGAAAGGCTGGCATTCAAGTCCTGACCAACACATATTGGCGGTATTGCACTAAGCAAGGCACTTATCTATAAATTTCCCAAGCAGCTTTCTAAGACTTAAGTTGCTGAGCAAGAGCTTCTTACACCAATGAAATTGTTGATTCAGACAAAACAAAACCACTTTTCTTTTTTTAATTTATTTATTTATTTTGGGCAGCTGGGGTTACACAGCTAGTGAGTGTCAAGAGTTTGGTCCGAGGCTGGATTTGAACTCAGGTCCTTCTGACTTCAGGGCCAGTGCTCTATCCACTGTGCCGCCTAGCTGCCCCAAAACAAAACCATTTTAGAGCTTATTAGTTGCTGGTAGTTGGTAACTGCCAATATAACCATGTATGGTTAGTTTTTAAGTAGATTTTAGAAGTTGTCATTCAGTGATTGCAAATGTTTTAAAAAAAGTTTGCTACATAATGTATCAAATCTTGATATATGCCTAAAATGTTTTGTTTTATTTTTTGCAGAAAGTTTATAAGCAGCAGCCAAACAGCAACATATTCTTTCTTGCAGACAGAACAGAAATGCTCTCTGAAAGTAAAAGTGAGTTTTTTTTCTGTTATATATTTATTATTCATATTTATGTAGACTTCCAGGGAAAAAAAGATAATTGATTTTTTTTTACTAACATGTAAAAAAAGTCATATTAGATATGTAGGCTCTTAAGTCAGAGGACCTGGCTTCAAATTCTCCCTCTGATGCATATAATTATATGACCTTGGTCACATTTCCTTCTGAGTTCTCAATTTCCCCAGTGGACTAGATGGTCTCTGAGGTCCCTTTCTATAAATCGATAGTCTTAAATTACTCAGTCTTAAATTACTATATAGTAGTAAAGAATTAGTCATGTGCATTTCAGTTAAATGAGGTTGTTTTATCTTTGAATTAAACCTTCAGAAATATGGAGGACCACAAAATTATACTAGCTTGCCTTCTACCCAGGCAGTTTTTATCCTGTACTTTAAACATAATAAAACAAATAGAATGATTGGTATTCTTGTGTACTAACAGGGTGTCTCATTCTGTAGAACTGGTTTAGTTGGACTACCTGCATTATAAGTTAATAGGTGTCTAAAAGATTTACTTAATTTAATATTTCCTGTTTTTTTCCACAGACACATTAGATGAGTTGAAAAAAATCCACCAGGAAATAGAAAATACAGAAAAAAGCAAAATCAAGAAATAAGTTTGCTAAATTGCACATAATGTGTGGCATTTGTTGTTCAGTCACTTTATCTATTGAACATGGTGGGTATGATTTTTTGCATAAGAATCTGCTCCATAATCTTCAACGACGAGGACCCAACAGTAGTCAACAGGTGTTAAAGACTGATACTGATTATCATTGTTTGTTTTCTGGTCATGTCCTTCACTTAAGAGGCCTTTTGACTCCCCAGCCTATTGAAGATGAAAGAGGCAATGTATTCCTTTGGAACGGAGAAATCTTTGGTGGAGTATATGTAGGAGCTAAAGAGAATGATACTCAAATTATGTTTAATCATCTTTCCTCATTTAATAATGAATCTGAAATTATGTCACTTTTTTCAAGCATCCATGGTCCATGGGCTTTTATTTATTACCAGGCCTCTAGTCATTGTGTGTGGTTTGGTAGGGATTATTTTGGTCGTCGTAGCTTACTTTGGCATTTTAGTAACACAGGGAAGAGTTTCTGCCTTGCTTCAGTGGGTACTGAAGCTGCTGGAATAGTAAACCAGTGGCAAGAAGTTCCAGTGTGTGGAATTTTCAGAATTGATCTCAAATCCTCTGCCATTTCCAAACACATAGTTTTAAAATTGTATCCTTGGAAATACATTTCTAAAGAGAATACAGCAGAGGAAGTTGACAAGAATCTTAATCAGATTTTAGATGATTTGCCAAAATTTGTATCTATTGAGATAAATGAAGCCAGACTTTGTCTTAAGACACCTGTTGTTCCATTAAATACAAAGTTGCCACAAGGTTCATTTGAATCTGATCATAGTTCCCATATCCCAGCTACTATAGAAAATCTTCAGGTTTTTCTCAAAGATAAGCACATGAAGAAAGCAGTTCATCAGTTAATTCATGTCTTAAGTGAAGCAGTAAAGACACGGGTTTTATGTTTATCTAGAAGTGAAATTCTGTTCCTAAATGATGACCTTTCTAAAGCCTCTACTAGGAAGGCAAATATTGCAATACTTTTTTCTGGTGGCATTGATTCCATGGTTATTGCAAACCTTGCTGATCGACATGTTCCTTTTGATGAACCAATTGATCTTCTTAATGTAGCTTTTATGACTAAAGTACGGACTGGGCATGCTACTTTCACAAAAAAAAGTGGTCAACCTAAAAAACATCTTGAAACATCTTCTGAGGAAAACACTAAAGGACTTGCTGCCACAACTGATAATATTAAGGACCAGAATTTTAATGTGCCAGACCGACTCACTGGCAGAGCAGGACTAAAAGAATTAAAAGCTATAAACCCTTTAAGAATCTGGAATTTTGTTGAAATTAATGTTTCCCTGGAAGAATTGCAGAGAATGAGAAACCACCAGATAAGCCAGTTAGTTCAACCCTTGGATACAGTTTTGGATGACAGCATTGGTTGTGCAGTCTGGTTTGCTTCTAGAGGAGTTGGCTATGTTATGAAGGAGGATGAAATGAAACCATACCAAAGTGCTGCAAAGGTATGGAATAAGTTTTTTAAATCATAATAATTTCTTAGTCTTACTATAGATAACAGGTTAGTAAATGGTGAGCAGATAATTGCATCATCAAATTGTTAGAGAAATAACCTAGATAAATCTTTGGCCAATATATTTAGTACCAGTGAATGGTAGCCAGTTTGTATAATGGAAAAATTCTGATGTTCTCCATCATAAAACATACATTTGCTTTAAAAGTTTTTATAGGGGTAGCTAGGTGGTGCAGCAGATAGAGCACCAGCCCTGGATTCAGGAGGACCTGAGTCAAATCGGGCCTCAGACACATAACACTTACTAGCTGTGTGACCCTGGGCAAGTCACTTAACCCTGTTGCCTAACCAAAAAAAAAAAAAAGAAGTTTTTATGAAGGGAGAACTTTATTCCTAAATTATTAATATGCCAAGGCTAGAAACATATATAGCAGACATATAATAAATGTTTATTGAATGAAAATTTAATTCACTTACTAGCTTATTTTAGAACAGCTTTTTAACATAAAAAACAATGGCATGCTTAAATTGTAGGTCAGCATGATACATAAATCTTTTTTAGTATATCTAAAAAAATTTTATGCCTTTGTGATTTATGAATTCTTTTATTTGGAAATGTTTTCCTTTCTGCTGTAGTTTTATTATGGCTTTCCCTTATAGTCTTATTTTACTTATCCTTGTATTAAAAAAAAATTAACTTATTCAAACTTCTATAGGTAGTTCTTACTGGGATTGGTGCAGATGAACAGCTTGCAGGATATTCTCGTCATCGTGTTCGCTTCAAGACACACGGTCTAGAGGGATTGAATAAAGAACTAGAAATGGAATTGGGTCGAATTTCTTCTAGAAATCTTGGCCGTGATGACAGGGTTATTGGCGATCATGGAAAAGAAGCAAGGTAATCCAAGTGATGTGGTTTTGGTGAGGAGAAGGTTAGAAAAGGATTCTCAATTAAAAACTGTTAAAGATAATATAATCCACTTTTCTCTTACAGATGAACAAAGTAGAAAGTAATGGCTTGATTAAGGTCACACAGCAAGTTAGTGGGAGTATGTGGGTTTACCAACTTCCAGTCCAGGGCACTTTATACTACCTAAGCTGGGCCTTTTAGGGTTTGTTTGGGGTTTTTTTTGTTTGGTTGGTTTTTTGTTTTTGTTTTTTCTGGGCAGTGGGGTTAAGTGACTTGCCCAGGGTCACACAGCTAGTAAGTGTTATGTGTCTATGGCCAGATTTGAACTCAGGTCCTCCTGAATCCAGGGCCAGCGCTCTATCCCTGTATCACCTAGCTGCCCCTGTTTTTTTCTCTTTAAGGGTGATAACATAAATAGAAATATTAATGATACCATCTTGGACTTATATTACAAATAACCTCCAAAGAACACAAAATGTTTTCAAATGTATAATCTTGTGTACCTGCTCTAAGGTTTTTTATGTATAACTGTTTCTGGAGGCAGCATGTAAAGAAAGACACAGACAATGAAATAAGTCTCTAAAATAGTTAAATGTGCATATTATATCACTAATTTTGGCCTTTTATTTTGCCCAGTTATTTGTTACATATATTTAAAATTTACAAAGTAAATTTTCAAAGCCTGTACTGTTAACAACCATTTGCTTTGTCATTGATATTCTATGAATTTATATCCTAAATGTGCCTGTTTAGTTGAGGGAGAGGAAATTTATTTCCTTTAGTTAAAACAAATTTTAAAAGACCTGAATTATTATATATAAAACATTATTTTACGCTCAGAAAAAATACATTAGGAAAGTTCTTAGGAATTATACTATGTTACCATTATACAGATCATAATCCTGTTAATAAATACTATTACATTTTAATATAAGTAAAGAGGCTAGTTTACTATATGTCTTGGTAATTGAACCACAGCAAAAGTAATTTATTGTTATTTACAATTCTTCATATCAAAAAGTACTATGTTATATGCTTTTTTGGCCAGCTTTTGTTAATGAGGAATCACTCTAATATATAACAGAAACATTATTTGGCACTTACCATTTGTGTTATAGTAATATTTGTTTTTGAGGGGTGATAAGGACTGGTCAGTAGTACTTTAAAGTAGTAAACAGGCTAATAATTATTGGTAAGTAAAAGATTAGCAGAGCCAGAAAAGGAGGAAGTGAAAACAGCTGAGACAAGTCTGAAGTTGGAGATTATTGCTAATGTTATTAATAACCTAATATTTGACCCTCAAAATAATACTTGATTTGTCATACTATCTCAGTGACTCTTAAAATTTGAATATAATTAAATATGATTACTACTTTGAAACATAAAGGATTTGACTTCTTGATACCTTATTTTTCATGCCCCACAACCTTTATTTCTGTGGTTTGGAAGTGATACAAAAGACAAAAATATTCCTTATGTTCATATTTCTTTTTAAGTAAATCCTAGAGATATTTATTTGACAGTTTAAAGCTGTTCTTTGTTGTGTGACAGATAATTGAGAAATATGTCTTTTTACCTTGATTAACTTGTATTTTGTATTCATTTATTCCATAACCAGAAGAGTTTTCACAATTACATTGCTAGAAGTAGTACCTTCAAAGTTCAATTTTCAGCTAGAATTGCATGTGTTAAATAACTGTATTAAAACAGTAATGATGGATAGAGCACCGGCCCTGAAGTCAGGAGGACCCGAGTTCAAATGTGGCCTCAGACCAAACACTTGACACTTACTAGCTGTGTGACCCTGGGCAAGTCACTTAACCCCAATTGCCTAAAAAAACCAAAAACAAACACTGTAATGAACACAGATGGACTTGTTTTTCAACCTGTTTTCATAAAAATTTTATTTTCAATTTAGGTTTCCTTTCCTTGATGAAAATGTCGTCTCCTTTCTAAATTCTCTGTCGATTTTGGAAAAAGCAGACTTGACTTTGCCCCGTGGAGTTGGTGAGAAATTGATTCTGCGCCTTGCAGCATTAGAACTTGGTCTTACAGCTTCCAGTGTTCTGCCAAAAAGAGCCATGCAGTTTGGATCTAAAATCGCAAAAATGGAAAATAGCCATGAAAAGGCCTCTGATAAATGTAGTCGACTCCAAGTGTTATCCTCAGAATGACATCTTGTTGAATAGGCTCTTCAGTATTAGTGTATACATTACAACATTTATTGAATTATTACATAAAATAAAATATTTTTCTATTGTGTGTTGTAGTTAATCAATTTAAAACACATTTGACTGTTTTCCTTAACTTACAAACCAGTTGCTTAATACTAACAGAAATTGCTGCTTTTTTAAAAAGTACACTTGAAAGTACAACTTTGATATTTTAATCTGACAGTGATGTTAACAGACTTTTGAATCCATATTTGCTGCATCCACTGAAACATAGGTAGCATAATGTGAATCTTGAAACACTTGAGTGCATCCTAAAAACCTCACTTGTGATTGAAGGTATTTAAGTCAAGTAACCCATGAAATCAATACCTTAGCCATTTGCTTAAAGATCAGAATTGTAACTAAGAATTTTGTACCTGGATTGAGTTGCACAAAATGCTCTTAAAGATTTGGGGGCGGGGGGGGGGGGAAGCAGCTAGGTGGCGCAGTGGATAGAGCACCGGCCCTGAAGTCAGGAGGACCTGTGTCCAAATTTGGCCTCAGACACTTAACACTCATTAGCTGCATGACACTAGTCAAGACACTTAACCCCAATTGCCTTAAAAAAAAAAGATTTGGGGAGGAATATGTCATCTGGTAGCCTCCTGTTCTATTTTCTTACTTCTAACTAGGTGCTAAGCTAAGTTGTTCAGGCTGTTGAAGGACTGAAAGTGTTCTCAGCAGGATCACAGATTTTTAATGCCCCAGGAACAAAACCCCACTTATTCTGAGGAAGTTATATCTCTGATTAAGATTAAATTCTAGGTTTCTTAAAAAGTGTAAGGAACATTTCAGAAAACACGGTTTAAATCCTGCATTGCCACATAGTGGCTACTTGATCCCAGGTGAGGCACATAACTTCTCAATGTTGACTGAAATCACAGGACCAATCTCTAGGTAGTAGGAGCTTAATAAAGATTTGACTTGAGTAAATATTACCCTCTTTCAGTACAAGAGCTACTCCTGAGCTATTTGAATAAAAGCAAAAGACTGAGCTGGTAGAAGTTCTCACATTGCCTTGTTGCCTTTAATCCCTAAAACGATTAATCTGCTGCCAGTGCTTAACTTGGTTTCAAGACAGGTCAACAAGTTTTAAGACTAGGTTCTCTGGACAAATTAAGTGGAGGTGTTAGTGACTACCAAACATGGTGAAAGAATCTCAATGTAATCCCAAATTTGTAAAAAGTTTTCAGGCCTGTGAGTTTCCATAAAACAGGGTATTTACTTGTTCAGTTGTTTCATAACTCTTCATGACCCCATTTGTGGTGTTCTTGGCAAAGATACTGAAGTGGTTTGACATTTCCTTCAGCTCATTTACAGATGAGGAAACTGAGGCAAACAGGGTTTAGTGATTTGCCCAGGGCCACACAGCTAGTAATTGTGTGAGGTCGGATTTGTACTCAGGTATTCCTGACACCAGGCCCTGAGTTCTATCCACTGTGCCACCTATCTGCCTTTTCCTAAAACAGGGCATTTACATGTAGTAATTATTGTACCTTAGTTAAACCACTTTGTTTGAATTGCCCTTCCATTGTCTATGTATGGAAAGTCAGGCAAAATCTTTTGACTGGGCAATTCATAAAAATACAAGGAATACTTTCTAACATTTTTGAGTTGGCAACTGGAATTTATTTTCAGTTACTGAGTAAAAATGAAGGACAACGTGATTTAAGCTTAGGACATGTAATATTAGCTCTCCTATTCTCCACAGTTTTAAAAGTAAGCATCTGGGTCTATAGGGGAGGAGTCACTATGTTGCCTAGGTCTCAAGGTGTCGTGTCGTGATTTTAAAAGTTCAAGAGACATAGTTTCTGGGTAATTTAATAATTTTATTAATAAGGCCAGTATGTTATTAATAAAAAATTTGGTCATTTGGCCATCTCTCAGACCAAAAGACATCATGGTGGTAGGCTCACAGTTTACATATGCTTCGGGGAGTAGTAGGTGTTCAATAGGGGCTGAGAGTGACATGTTACCCTTAGACCAAGACACTTTATACCCAGATCACCCCCAGCCTTGGGCAATCCATTCAAAGAATGAATACCCCATCAGAGCCCGAGCAGAACACAGTAGCTACTTCACTTGGATGGGGTTTGAACTAGAAAATTATTTCAATCTCATCAGCAATGTCCTTAGACTGAAGTTTTTTAAATCAAGATTTAATAAAAAGGGGAGAACTCTGGGTATCCCCAAAGCGTTGGTTAATAATAATTTCTCTCACTGTACTTCTGAAAAAGATCACTGCTACAATTCTAAGATCCTGGGAATTTACTCACATTTTACAATCAGCCTTAAGCTCTGAGCCATTAAATCCATTTACACAGAAGTTCTAGGTAGCACAATGAATAGAGTGCCAGGCCTGAAGTCAGGAAGACTTACCTTCCTGAGTTGAAATCTAGTCTCCCATTACTAGTTGTGTGACCCTGGACAAGTTCCTTAACCTGGTTTGCCTCAGCTCATCATCTTTAAAATGAGCTGGAGAAGGAAATGGCAAACCACTTTAGTATTTTTGCCAAGAAAACCCCAATGGAGTCACGAAGAGTCAGATATGCCTAAACAAAAACAAAATTTCACAAATTGCTTTGTTTCACATTGTAAACAAGGACTTTGACTTCTTTAACTTTCACCTTGCTTTCCTATCTCATTCTCTTCATAACCACAATATTCTTTCCTCTTCCCATTATCTTAGTGAACTCAGTAATATACATTTCAAAGAAAAACCAAATATATATAGACTATCCCCACAATCCCTCTTCCACACATCAAATTAAATTTTGTTCCTGTGTGGATTCCCTCAGTTTACAGGTTAAATGGAAGGCTTAGACATCTATATCTGTGTTGCAGTGAAATAAAATTGTGAAACACAGGAAGATGAGTATAAAGAGGCTATTTTATGGCCTTTAATAACTATATTGTGGCAGATTGTTTTTAGAAGAAAAGGTTTGATATGTTTCTAATGTTAGCACAAGTTATTACAGCAAAATTCGTTTGGGATATATTGGAAATATATCCTGGGAATGGCAGGATATGTCTGTTTCAACTCCTTTAAATGAATGGGTAGGAATTTGCATCATCTTTGTAATATATCTAAAGGAGTTTCTTCTAGATGCCACAAAGATGATGTTAGAACAGACTTTTATCTTTTCTATCCTTGCCAAAGTATTGTCTTTGGAATGCTGTTGTCTATATCCACTTCAATCTCTTTGAAATTGTAGTGTTCCAAGATTTCCAACAATAGAGAAATTGGTGTTGAAAAGCTGGGTCTTCGTACCAGGAAGTACTTTGGGATTCTTAGAAGTGCTATGGAGTTTATCGAAGGAAATCTACCTTGTTCTCCCTCTTGCCTATAATATGGAATATCTGTCCCAAATATGTGTACTAATGATGAGGTAGAAAAGAGTGCTTGAGGCAGATGGAAGCAAGCAGCACATGAGATAGTGGATAGTATGCAGGATGTGACCAGGCAGAAAAGTGATCAAAGACTATGCATTGAAACCCTCAGCATCACTTATCTGTGTACTTTCACAAAGCACCCTCAATTCCAGAACAATTCTTCCCCTCCCCTTTTCTGTTCTCTTTGCTTATCACCTCCAGACTACCTGATATCCCGGGCATTTTGGAGCCATGCTTGCCTCTCCCATTCTCTTGTCCCCTTCCCCCTATTCCATAAAATTGTATTTAAACCATACCTTTGACCTAGCTAATTGCCTTTGCCTCCTACAGGAAGCAGGGGCCACTCTGCTTAGGGGAGCAGGGCCTGTGGCCTATGCTTTGCCTCCCACATGCAGCACAGCCCACTGGGGCTCTCCCTCATTGGAAGCAGGCCCCTCTTGGGTACATCACCCCAATAAATGCTTTCTTTAACTTTACCAACCTTCCTGTTGAGGTTAGAGTTGGGAGAGCTGGTTCAGGTGTGAAAGAATTCACTTAGACCTTCTCTGAAGCCATTGGTGATGAGTTCAGGGTGGACCCCAAGAATGTTAGGGCGCTACCTGAAATGATGAGGAATAGACCTGTGGGTCCTAGTGTCCTGAAAGAATTCACTTCGACAGTCTCCAAGTTAAAGAAAAGCATTCTGTTGCCCTTAGTCTCAATTGTAGCCCATGCTGACCACTACTATTAATCTCTCAAAAACATACTTTCATCACTACTCCCCAAACTCAACAATACTTGAGTAGTTCTCCTGCTTAATCTGTTACTTGTGAGAATTTGTGATTTTTTTTGGTGTGGTTGATGCCTCTACTGAGGGAGAGTAATGCAGTCATCATGTAATTCTTGTCTATTGGTTTTTCAGGATCTTGGGGGTATCCCACTGAAGCACTTGGACTATCAGGAAGTAACCTCATTCTGATGATCTAGATTTGGCATGCTTTTAATGCCACTTCTCATGCTCATCATTGTTCATTAATTACAGCTTTCTTAAGGCCGCTATACATGTGTCTATTTGCTCTTAATGTTCTTTGCAGTTTTCTCATTCGTGGCCAAATGGAATCACCAGGAGAATTGTTGGTAAGGTCACAAGTGGTTTGGGATGATTCAAAACACTGCACAAATTCCAAAATGTTCTCCAGCCCACAGGAAAAAGTACCAAATACGATAATACATTTGTTAATTGCTTTTACTTCCTAACACCTTAGCATTCAAGGCTTAATACAATTTAGCACATACCTACCTAAATCTAATTCAACCATCATTGCTACTATTACTGGTTTCTGTCAAGTAATTAAGTACCATCAAACATCACTGCTACAACTACATGCAAGGCATTCTGCTTAGTGCTGAAAATACAAAGAAAAAAATTATAAGTCCTTGTCCTCAAAGACCTTTTAGTTTACCTAGATAATGTGACAGGCACATAGATCAGTGTGATACATGGAAGGAACTTAAGAGAACAGAGGTAAAATCATAGAGGATATTTGAGAAGTGGAAATGCATTGTCTGGGATATTTTTCAAACTATCTCCTGCTATTCCCCTATGGATTTTGCTGCAGCCAAAGTGGTCTAATAACAGTCCCTGCAAAATTCTTTATATTCCCTCATGTTGGTCCT